CGGGGGTAAAGGCGGGGGAGGAGGAGGGGAAGAGAGAATGATTTTATGAATTCTTTTTTCAATACAAAATAACATCTATTATGCTATTGTTTATTAAATATAACACATACCAAATGTTCATTTTAACGAAATTAAGTAAATACAACAAAGAATGTTTGCTTTTCTCCTAAAAGTTATTCCATTTTGAAGCTTACAAATATAACTTATTATGATAATACTATGAATACTATTAATGATAGTTTCATTAAATACTGATATCAATTCAAATAGCATTTATCATATGGAATGTTAATTTTAGATCTATTTTATCAGTAGCGCATTTTGTTGATAACAAATTCTTAAAACAATGTCACAATTTAATTCAATCATACCTAAAATGATCATTTGGTAAGAATTTTTTTAGTTTTATTCAATTTACCGAATTCAAAAAGAGAGAAATTTACGGAAAGAAAAATTTTATGAATGGAAGATTGCAAAAAAAAACTACAATTAACAATTCTCGGGATAAATTCAAAGATTAAATAGGTCGATCACCAAGTATATTTATAAATGATTACGGTATTTGAAGGAGATTTTTGTTCTAAGACAACTGTTCTGAAATAAATCTTTAAGACGAATGTTATCTCGTTTAATAATTGTTGCTAAAGTAAGGTAATAAAGTAAATTGTAAATTAACAAATTTGTTGATCAACAAAATCGCTCTTCCTTATCATAGAATAATTACCTTTCCCTTTATCATATAAATTAATACGATATTAAATAAAGTCGTATCGCTGATAATACGGATAGGTAAGTACAGGATTTTCTCCCTTTATTTCCACCATTGATGATTTGCTATCAATTAAAATAATTCTTAATAAAATAATATATGGATAGTTAAGCAATTAACACCAAAAAAAAATCCTTCTGTTCACCTTATCAAGCTATTAAAACCAGAAAATTCAACCCTTCTTATCACCTTATCAAACTATTATAACTGAAAAATTTCCTAAACCTCCTTATCATCTTATCAAACAACTGAGACCAAAAAACTTCCACAATCCTTTCCGTTATCATTTCAGCATTCTATTCTAATAAGCATCACTCATCATTCTATCCTTTCGGAAGCAATCTTCCTACCATTTCCAGTTCTTATCATCATATCACTACATCACTCATACTCCTTATCATACATAATAATCTCTTTCTTCCTCTCCCCCTTTCTCTATCTCTCCCTTTCTCTGTCATAACTAAATTGATTTTTTAAATCAGTTATTTGCTTCATCTAATAGATTAAAAAATGTGCCCCAGAGTGGACGTCATACGGAAAGGATGATGCCTTATCGGTAGGCGTTGCAAAAATCGAAATTGCCATTATATGTATGTATGCATGTGTGTATGTGTATGTGTGGGTATATATATTGTGTCTATGTGTGTCTGCATGTATGTGTGGTGTATGTGTATGTGTATGTGTATAGAACTATAAGTAAGCATTATGATCCATAGCATTTCATTAGGAAGAGAAAGGCGTCGTTGGCAAATTTGAAGATTCCTGCGGTGTTGTAGGAAAAATGAGAATTTTTGGAAAATGAGAAATTGAGAGAAGCATTTGATGAAAGAGTGGAAAAAAAACGATGTAAGAAATGAGAGAATCTCTCAAATAAATTATTCCACGGAAGTGAACAATCAAAATATGCAAAAAAGTTTTGCATCGAAAAATTGACCAATATAAAGCAAGCTGTAAGCATATGTGGTCATTCTTCTGATCAGATCAATACATTCTGTCCACTTTTTTTAGGACAATGTATAAAGAAATGAAATTAAATATCACTTCATCGAATATTTGGTTAAAATGATTTCCCTCACACTTCAAAATTATTACAATCACATATAACAAGTTAATAATTATTACCTTAATTAATTATTGAAGAATATTAGCCTAAAATATTTTTGTTAAAACTTTTAAGGGAGAAAAAGTTGCAAACTTTTAAATAGCATATTTTTTTGTTGAAATATTTCAGCAAAGCTTACATATAAATTCGATAGCATATTTGAATAGATATAGAAAACTATTCTTCCTATCACACATCGAAATTTTATTTAAATCCTTCTATCTTTTTGATAAAAACAAAATCTAAGATTATATGAAAATATTTTAAGTATTAATGAATTGAAATTAATAATTTAGTGTCAGTTAATTAGATCGCTTTAAACTTCTAATTTTAATTATAAATTGATAATATATAAATAAAATATAACTAAATGATAATAAGATAACCATTATGGAATAAAATTAAATTAAAGAATTATTTTTCATGCAGATAGATATTTTTATTTTTCTCGCAGATGTTTCAGGTATTTTATTTTAGTACAGTAAAAAATTAAGTTAAATTTAAAAAATTATTGCAATTAAATTGATAAATTTGTTACTTAATGTTAACCATAAAAATTAATTTTGTTTTTGTATTTCTGCTTTTTTCTCCTTTTTTTTAAATGAAAATATGAATTTGAAGAAATTCGAGAAAGACTAGTTTGGATTTGGAATATTTCAATGATTTTCTTAGGTAGGACATTTCAATGTACCATTGGAGTTAATTTCTTGTGACAATTGGAAGATAGCACCAGCTTAGATGGAACTGGTTTTTCACATTTCATTTCTTCTTTATTGATGATGAAATGGTTAAAAGATAAAAGGTATGATGGAGGTGGAAGAAGGAAAAAATTTAGAAATAATCGATGTTTTGATGAAATATCATTTCCTTTTTTTGGGATCTTTCAATTCAATTAAGTGAAATGAAATTATTGGCATCGTTTTATTTTCTTTCAAATCGCAATATGCCTAAAAAGGGAAAATTATTTCCAATAAAATAATCTTTCAATGACATATTTTAGTGATAAAATATTCTTATCAATTTCTTTTATTTTATAATTTGAAATTAAAAAGGAAGAAAAAAGTGGCTTAATTCAATTTAAAAGATAAAATGATATTATCTTATGCAGAAATTGACAAAAATGATTAATTTTTTTTGTTTAAATTGTTAATTAGGAATTAATTAAAAAAACAAAACATTGATATGATAATTTTTTGTAAATTGATAATTTATATTAAAAAGAAAGCATTTTGTGAAAATTTCATTAACTTTATGTTATTGGAAGCTTAAACTATTTATTTATTACGTCATTGCAAATGCTAAAACTAATCACATTACTGACCATTTCAATTATCTTTTTAAATTTAAAATAGACGAAACAATTAATTGTAGCAACTTCCGACAATATGTTGTAATATGCTATTAGTGGTCGAGTGGTCGACAATTTATGATCATTTAGATAGAAGATCAAAAAATAGTAAATGTGTTCCAGCAATGAAATAATTTGCAATCAAATTCGTAATAATTGCAATCTTTAAAAATTAAAAAAAAAATTTAAAGCAAAGTTATAAAAATTTTATACTAAAATTATTTGCGTAAAAAGCAGAATACGATTTATATTACTGATCATACATCATTATTTACGCTAAAGTTACCATAATACTTCAATTATTCCTGCAAGTTGATACAATGTTAAATATTTCGAAAAAATAATGCTTAAGCATACATTCCGGTTTTCTGGATACATATCAATATGCGTAGCTCGTTAAACTATTTGTTGATTTGCCAATATCACTTGTTGATATCAAATTGATTTTGGATTAAAAATCCAGTAAATCCATTTTTATATAATTCACCACAGACATCAATGAATTTTATTCCTCCAAATTATTTATTGATAATAACAATTGAAATTATTATTTCTATAGTATAATCAAATGATTTGCTTTCATGAAATTCACTGAATTTTAATAGTTATTGGAATTACATTAAATTAATTTCATGAAGTTTTATAAACTGTCAATTTAGTTTAAGTGAATTTTATTCTCATAGTTGCTTGAATATCTAAGGAATTGTTCAGTTAAATTAAAGATCAACTGGATATTTATGAGGAAGAATGAAATAAAATATTTAAACACTTTTTCATTTTAATTTTCGATACCTAATTTTTAATGAAATAAAAATAAGCAATCCAAATAAATATTTATGAATGAATTGATAATACTTAACATATTAGTATTATCAATAAAATTCACTTTTTTTAGCGACAACCAGTCATTTCATCAAAAAGTAGCAAAATTTCATACGTCAATCACTAAAGTTTCGATCACGACACTATAATTGACCTTTCATAATACCCTGAATGCTCTGAATGTTTCATTAATTAAATTATTGAGAAAGTTTTTGAAAATTAATTTATAGGAGTAATTCAGATGTGAGAACTATTTTTGACGAATAAATTTCTTTAACGATTTTCTTATTGTTATGATATTTGAAATGACAACATTCTTCACGATTCCATCAATAGTTTCACTTCTATCCGTGCGCATCATCAATTTTACACAACATTTTATGGACGTTTTGACGTAATACTTCATTTCTAATACCGTAATGATCAAATTTTCTAATGAGAAGTATTTATTTATAGCAACGTACAATTACAATTAACAGCGGAATAACATTGAAAGAAAAGAACTGCAACAGGATTGACTTCGGACAAATTCCGAAACAGTTAAACGAGCAAATGCAGCTAAGACTAGTAATTTCAACTGGAAGCCACCGACATTCTTTATAAAATAAATCGTACTGTACTCCTCCATTCGAGCCATTTCTTGACCTGATCCTTCTAATACACATACCCATGCAGTAACTCTGAAATTATTAAATTATACAAGTATATGATAAGTTATAATAAATCATACTACTTCCTATCCATCTTTCTTTTCAATTTCTGAAAGTAAAAGAAGAAAAGATCTCACAAAGCTATGAAAGATTTTCATTGTCATAGAGGAGGATGTCATTTATAAAAAGTAATGAGAGAAACAAAATTTATAAATAATTAATTAAGGAATATTTTAAATAAATAATTAAACTTATTACGAAGTGATAATTGCATAATTTTGATATGTTATTTCCATTTAATCACTAAATCTTAGATTTAATTCTTAAAAAAATCATTTATAAATTTGTGTTTGAATAAATTCATTTCAACATTGCTCAAATTTTCACTAATAAAGCTGATTTTCTTCTCTCTCTTTTTTCCTTTTCTTTTCTTAACAGTTATCAGTTAGTATTTCCATAGTAATTGAAAAATTATTAAGAAGTAATAATTGCAAAAATTTGAAACATTATTTCTTTATCAGTTACTTATATAAATGAGTCTAACAAATTATGAATTTATATACTAATACTTTTGAACTATTCTACATTACATTATATGCTATTAGAATAAGATCTACTGATTATATTATATTATTTTAATGAAAACTTAATCGATAAATGAATGAATTTTTTTTGCACTACTCAAAATATACATTTTAATCAGTTAAATCGTAAAATAAAATAGAAATTTGGAGGTGGAAAGATTTCTTTTAAAATTAAAAAATTAATGCTTGAATTAATTTCATTTTAAAAATAACAACAAAATAATGCGTTAAATGAAGTAAAGGATAAAATGAACAGAAATTAATTAACCTTCCATATGTATTTTCAGCAGCTAAAATTTTTGCTATCGTTTGTTTATCACTGTTTTCTATCAGAAATGGATCACCTGGAATAATTAAGGATAGGTATATGAAATTTAGGCTAACATCCATTAAAAATCTCACCTTAACATATGCATACTTAATAAGATAATTAGTGCTTATTATAATTTGTTTATTATTTCCTGTTAAGAGAAATATCTGAAAAGAAAGAAATGGAATGCAGTGAAATTATGTGAAAATACATATTTTTAGAGATAAGCGGAAAGAATAATAAATATAATAAATGCAAGTATTGGTACTTGTTTACTGGTTAAACTTACCAGGCACAAAATAACCAAATAAATCACCGTTCCAATCATTTACAGCAACAAAAGGTGGTTCGGACTTATTTCCAGAAATGCATCCGGCAGCTAAACTTCTCGAAACTAATAATACTGTTCTGCCATACGATTCCAAAATCATAGTTGATTTATCACAGTTTACTTCTTCCCAAATATCAAACAACGGAAAATCGATAGAATCGGTTACCTGACACCTTAGTTTACAGTGACATTTATTACAATAATTATTGTATTCATAAATTAATTTTAGATTAATTCAACTGTGAGTTGTTAATTTGTGGAAATAAATTTTTGAATTTCTATTTGAAATGAGTATTTCTGCAAACAATATCATTTGAAATAATATAATAGTTGCAAGATTTCACACAAGTTAATAAATTAATAATTATTATAAATAAATTAACAAATCAAAGTATCATTTATTATGAGAGATCAAATAGAAAATTCACCACTAAGTTATATATGATTTAAGAGTATGTTAAGATTTTAAAATAATTCTATAAAATAATAAGTAAATGAATAAAATTAAATTTTAATGAATGAAAAGTAAATGTAGTAGAGAAGAGAGAGCTAAATACTTTTTAATACTCACATTTCAATTTCAACTTCGAATTATTAATTCATGACATGGCCATATAAAAGTAAATATGCTAGTACCTGTAATTCAGTTCCAGCCCTTCGGATCCTTAGTAATGATGCATCGCTGAAGTAAAATAATACTTGTGATTTATTCGGCATGAAATAATATTCATATTTACGTGGTATTGATGCCAGCTCCTGAAATAAATTGCATCATCAAATCTTAAAAGAAAATAAACAAGACCACATGCTTCTCTTTTTCAAATAAAAGGATCCTTTTTTAAATTTTAATTTAATGTTAAATTTATGATCGAACATTTAAATCAAATGAAATATTCAATATGCAAACTTGAAGATCTATCATTCACAGCAAAAATACTATCCTTTGCACAAAAGTTTTAATTTATTAAATGTTTAAACTTTTTTCAAATAGTTTTAAATAACCAAATTTTGAAGGCCAATAGAAATAACAATCATTTCAAAAATGAGAAACTTTACATGATATCAAACGATATTTATGAAAGTGTAGAAGCCAATATTTTATTGTTAAAACATGAATTAAGCTTAAGGTAACAGGAAGGCTTTCATAATTTTAAGCTATTAAATCTATTTGAGTAACATAGCAGAAACAAAGTTAGTATGAATTAAATCATTCCGATACTTTTCCCTTCAAAGAGATTCATTCATTTTTAGTATCAGTTTAAAGTGATAAAATTATTTTTTTAATTCGAAACTTTATATTCGTTCAAAAACGAAACACTCATATGCAATAATAATTTATATTTTTCAATATTATACTTTTTATAATTTCGTAATAAATTTTTGAATGTTTATATTTTTGAAAAAGATAAATTAATTTTTTGCATGTTAGAATTTGCAGAAATTTTTGTGTATATTTTCAGAATTATTTAGTATTACTAATTAAATTTCACAATATGTCAACTTAATTCCTATCTTTTACTTTGAAATAAATAACATTTCAGCCATGCCACAGCTGTTATTAAATTACTTAAATTACATTTTAAGAAGGCTTAAATCACATTTACTAACTAAAATATTGACTTTTTTTCGTAATAATGCTTTAGTTAAAACTTATACAAATTTACCATTAAAGTTAATGTAAAGGATAGATATAATTAAAGCTAATAGTAATTTCCTATTTTTTATTTAACAAATAATATCGGATATTTCTTAGAAATATTAATCGATAAATATTATCGCATCTTTTCAAACGGAAAAAATAATCGTAAAATACGATTGATATAAAGAAAATAAAAATTATTGAAAAAAGGGAAAAAATGATCGTGAGAATGGACATTTAGTTTCACAGCTATTCAGTTTTGTTTACTTTTCTTTTGAATAAATCTCTAAGGATTTAGGCTATCCTTCCATTTCTACAACTTCTTTTTTTCGCCTTCCCCTCAAACTGTCAATAATACCTTCAATTCCTTTCTTTCTTTCTTTCTTTCTTTCAATAAACTATTTATTTTTCTATTTTAAAATAAATATTTGCTATAATAAAATGAAAAACTAAATAATTTATCATACATTTCGATATTATTTATAAATTTTTTTCTAGAAAATTTTAGTAAATTTGATTGAAATAGCATGCAAAATTAGAGATAACGAATGAACAAACTGTTGGGACAAAACAAAGCAACATCGTGATAAAACCGAAATAAATTGTAACAAAACCATAATAAAATTGTGGCCAAACCAAAATAAGATATGTGAAAAATGTTAATCCAATGTATACCTCCTGTGAGTTCATATCATTATCATTCTGGTGATTAGGTCGAAAATTTTGTGGTGACATATCATCACTACCAGCCTCATAATTGGTAAGCATTGCTATTGCTTCACCGTTACTATCATGATATCTGAAGTTGATATTTCTGTTATTGTTGCTGTTTTTGGTAATGGCGATAGCGGTAGTTTTGATCGATTCAGGAAACTGATTATGGTTAACGATTGGTAGCTCATTAAATGATGTACCGGGTTGTGGCATATTCGAATTACCGGCACCAATCAATAATGACATTGTCTTGTCTGAAACATATATTTCAGTATTTCAATTTAAAACTTTTCTAATTTCTGAAGAGCGAAAAATTATATTGTGAGATATTCTATTCTAATAACTTTTAAACGATATATAGCAGTAACTAATAAATCAAAGCAAATGAAAGAATATTAAGCAATCTGAAGAATACTTACATTTGATGCAACGAGACAGATTGTCTTAAAAATATTTTAAAAAATTTTTCAAATTCAGAAAATATAAAATTTTGAAGGAATCATATGTTACACATTATATGAAGTTGTTGATGATAATAACAATATTTAATGCAAGAATTCGAGCCAGCATAATCTTTTCGAACAAAAAAAAGGTGTAAGATATGTAAATTTAGCTCACCATATCACATTTAATTTATTTGGGCTTTAAATACAGGCATAGATACAGTTGTTTCCAGTATTTTACGTATACCGTTCCGTCAAGCAAAAGATGTTTTTGAGGAAAACTAATAATGATGCAATTGGTTTTCAGGTTCATCATTCCGGTTCATCATCCTTGTATTTCTTATGGTGAAAAAAATCCTGAAACTACTTGATTATCTAACAATAAATGAAACTCATGCTGAGATTTCGGAAATTTCTCGAAAAATAAAAGTTAAAAAGAAAAAGTTTGCATATCTTAAAAATTAAAGAAACTGAAGAAATAATATATAATAAAATCAATAAGTTAGACATAGAAAAATTCTTTCAGAATAGTAAAACACAAAAAAAGTAGCAACAAACTTTAACTCAAAAGTTTTCATTTGAAATTAAAAGGATAAGATCAAAACATTTTGTGAAATCCAATAATTAATATCAAAATATCAAATAAGTTAACAAATTTATGATCAGAAATTTTATAAACTTTAAAAAATTGTAAGTGCGAATAGTAGCACAGAAATGCTTTAAGCTTATTGAGATTATTAAAGCACTCAGACGATAGAATGATCGATCATATCATTGAAAATAAGAAAAATGAAACGAATAAGTTAGACATAGCAGCACTTATAGCAATCATTATCGATATTGCATTAGTGCCTAATGGCGAAAAGTTGTATTGAAATGGTGGAAATGGAAATGTTCCAAGCTTATTGAAATTATTGAGGCATCCCCAAAAGTAATTAAGTTTTCGTTACAATAAATGGACGGCGTTTAACTGTCTGAAGTAATTTTGCAAGTGAATAAATAGAAAAACCTGAAAATCGTTTTGGTTAATATAAGATGGTTAAATGACACACACACATACACACACACACACACACACACACACACACACACACACGCACACACATGTAGCATGTTTACATAAACAAACAGATTGAGAAGTAAATTTACCGACAAAAATAGAAATTGTATTTTTTTTCCTTGTTTGTTTAAATGACTATTCGAAAAGTTGTCAATAAATACGAAAAGATAAAAAGATAAGAATGAGATAAATAGAAAAATATTATTGAAATGCCAAACAAAATAGTTGAAAAAGATGATAGTAGAATTGTATAGAGCGGGTATAAAAGGTTTTTGAAAATAAGCTATTCTTAAAGGAATAGAGCCTAAATAAACTATCATTTATTTCATTATTTATTGAAAGTGCTGGTTGCAACAAAATAACCTAGCATTTTCCGGGCTTTGCACCCATACATATAAAGCATTGGCATTCAAATTATTTATCAAAGAGGTAAAGACGAATAAGAATTATTATTATTGTTATTATTATCATTATCATTAATTATTATTGTCATCGTTAACATCAAAACCGAAATTTTCAAGAATCATCGCATATCATTTCGTGCTATTATCAATTTCGATTACGATCTCCATGCAATTTTATTTAAATATTTAGTTTGATCAATCAAAGTGGCAAATAAAAAAGTAGTTAAGATAATTAATTGTTTTTCAAATTGATATTCGTGTATGTTTCAAAAAAAACATCAAAAATATAATAAATAAATATGATATTCAGAAATATTAAAAGGATATAAATAATATCATAAATCAAATAAAAATTTGCAAAATAGTCATTTTAACTGTCTAAAAACAGTACAAAAGAATTGAATAAAATTAAAAAGTTTAAAGCTTAATTTTAAAGTGTAACTATGAAATATTTTCAACAAATTACATGGCAAGCTTAACAGCTGACGATTGAAATCATTATTGAGAATTGAAATCGTGATCTTAACAAATGCTGGTACTAAAAGAATTTTCAAATAATGACAAATGGCAAGAGAAGGAAAAATGAACCCAATTCTAAATATAAAAATAATATTGTTTGTTGCATAGTTTTTATTAAAATTATTTTAAATAAAGAAATTGAAAAAGAGGAAGATCAACAATACATGCAATATGAATAATACAGTAATCATTCCTTTCCTTTTCATTTTCATTAAATATTTCATTTTTAAAAATGAAAGGAAAAATTTAATAATGATAAGAAAAAGTGAAATGAAATAGTTAACAGAAATTATTTCTTTTCTTCAAAAATAGAAAATAAAGAAATGCTTAAAAACGAAAAGAAAAATTATAAAACAATTCCGTCGAATAAATGTTAATAATATAAATTGAAATTGTGAAAATCCTTTGTTTTGCAATAAATTCATCAAAATTTCACCGAAAACAACAAAAAATTCAATTTTTTGTCACTTTTTTCTTTTTAGTTATAGGAGAAATGTTACTATTCTCTTTAATTTTCTTAATTTCATTATTTTACAATCATTTCATTGTTTTATTTTTTTGAATGATATCATTTATCAATAATAAATAAACTTGAAGTTTATTAGTCTAATTAATGATAAAACTGCAATTGATAAAATAGGTATAAAAATAAATAATATCGTCCCTTATCACTTTTTATTATCATTTTCATTCATTCTTATTATGCATTTTTTTCAAACATTTCAAAAATTTTTGAAAAATGTTAGCAAAAGTAAAATAAGAGATATCGCTTAGTGTAATTAAACAAAATTCATCGGTTAATTTGAATATTGCTGAAATAACTAACTTAATTTCAAATAATATTAGCTTAGTTTATTCTTAGTCCAATTCAGTACGAAATTATAACTATAAAAATTTGAGTCTAAAATAATGGGATGATTAGAGATTTGGGAGAAATGATTTAAGCTTCATATGAATGAATGATTCATGACTGAAATTGCATCCAGCATATTTTAGAATGCTTGGATATTTCCTAAATTTTCATATCTAGTTAAATTTTTTTTTAAATAGAAACTTTGAAAATAGAATAATGTAGCAAAAATAGATGAGAGCGGTCAAATATGATATTGAAATGATTTAAGGTTAATGAGACAGAAGGAATAACTGAAGAATGAATTTAAATTATTAAACTTATTCTTCTGCAGACAGATAACGAGCAGATTCAAAGGATTAATATTTGATATTACTTTAAAGAAAGTGTCGAATTAAAAAAAATGAGAAATTTGATAAATGTTCTCTTTCTTTCACTTCATTACCTTATATTTTTATGAATTCTATTGAAGTGATTAATATGATATATTTACTTACATATTGTAAATTAGTATTCATTACTTCCAGCCATGCTAATATTGTCATTTTTTTAAAAGTTATTTAAAAGTTAATTACCATAAAAATGAGTGGAAGATAAAGCAGCATTGCAAAGAGTAATATTTGAATATAAATGTTATGTAAAGTTATAATATTATTCTGTTAAGAAAATTTGTTTAATTTCTGATAAGTTATTAATGATAAATGGTACTCAAACTAATATTCACACTAAAATTGCTAAAAGTTTATTTATAAATATTGGTGAAAGTTTGTTAAAACAAAACCTTTTAGCATTTATAATAACAAAAAATATTTCAAAATAAAATTCATAAAAATATTAGGTACACCTTTACTTAAATTATAATTAATGTAAAAACAAAATTCACAAAATAATAATATGAATGAAATGATTTAAAAGAATATAGGAAAAATGATAAATGATAACATAAAAGTAAATGATTAGAAGAGAAGAGAAGAGAGATGCTATTTCCTACTCCTTTAAGACTAACTTCCTTCATTTCTTCCAGCCAAATAAATATCCAATTACATGAATTCAACATTTCAATAGCGCACAAGCGTATCACATTATACATATAAACTTCTTGCTGTATATATTATATATAATTAATATGCACATAATAATAATTATTAATAATTAATGATAATAGAATAATAATAATAATAAACAGTAGTAATGATAATATTTATGAAAAGCGGATAGCAAGCGGATATAGTTTAATGGAAATGATGTGTAATTATTTACTACTTTATTGGTTAGCAGCTGCCTTTATTGCTCACTTCCTCTTTTCCTGATTTGTTTAATCCTCTTTATATTACAATTTCATAAATCATTGTTTCTAATATCCATTAGCATTCACATTTCAATATGCTTTCTTTATTTTTGTTGTAAACGAAAAAAAATTTGCATTTATGATGAAATACTAATTAAAAGCTTAAATTCAACAACAAATGAGTAAATATGAATGGAAATGACAAGAATATTTACTAATTAATTTCTTTTTTCATTTATTTGTTTATTATTTGTTATAAACAATGAAAATATTATTCATTCATTTATATGATTGTTTTATGTTAAAATAAATTTCAAAAATGCATTGAATAGTTTAATTGAAAAATAACATTTATATCTTTTATTCTAAAAAGTTTTTTATTCCTTCTAATTTATTCAATTTAAATTACAACGGTCATTCTCTACAATTATTAAATAATAATAAAATGGCAATTTTTTCAAGTTAAATCTATAAAAAATGACAGCTTATGTATACTTTCATTCTAATCCATCAATTAACATTTGAAATTTCAAACTTAATTTTGAATATTTTAATTAAATTTGAAAAATGAAATAAAATATGAAGCATTTCGCTTTTTTTAAATTAATAGGATAAGTAATGTTTTAATCATATTTGCTACTAAATAAATGCAAAATAATTTGAATATAATCTACCTATGAAATATTATCCATCTGATATATATTTGCATTCCCATGTATTTCCACCTTCTCAATCGCCTAATCTTTATTTCCTCTTCCTTTCCTGAAATCCTTTTTATACTACAATATCATAAATGGTCGGAATATTTGGTCGGAGTTATAAACAGTTAGGCTCAATTTTTTTTGAAATAATTTTTGATGAATTTGTAATAGAATTTGATAATTTTAATGTATAAACGATTAATTTAAATCTATTCTTTCATTTATCTATAAGAATAAAAAGAAAATGTTATCATACATTAATTCCTTTTTTTCTTCGCCATAAATTTAAACTTTATCCTTTCTGATTATTTACAATTGTATCCAGCTGATTGCATGATAATGTATTCTGAATTGCATAAATCAAACATAGCTTTTAAATTGTATAAGTTTAAATGAGCAATGATAAAAAAATTTCATTTCCCATATCTTTTATTTTTGCTGATATTTTGAAGAAAACATTAAAAGGTGGAATAAACAGTTAGGAAATTAATGAAATTAATAGATTAGTGTAAAATAATAGTGATGACCATACTTGGAATGTTGTGTGTGTGTGTGTGCATGTATGTGCATGCATGTGCGTTTGTGTGTATGTGTGTGTGTGTGCATAAAAATTTAATTACTTCTACAAATATTAAAAAAGATGGTGTCAAAAATGACCAATAGCTATGATACTATTCAAAGTGTGTCTTCCATTTTTTTAGCTCTCGAAATTCCTCGATTTTTCGGAAGGATTCAAATAATCCATTTATATGTAATGTATATTTCAATTTCATTTTTCACCATCCATTATTGTGGAATGCAAAAGATAAATATATTTCTGAACTATAATTAAATTAATTTTTAAACCAACCTCACCTCTATTCATTTTACAAACATTTATGCGGCATTATTCACTCATAATTTTGCTAATAGTTGAGAAAAAAAATGAATGAATCTAAAAATAAGGTCAAAACATTCATTCCAATTAAACATTTTAAGTTAATGAGTTATTAAATTAACTTCATATTACGGACTACTATCTAAATTGGTGCTTTAAAATCTCATTACATAAATTATTATTCAGGCTGGAAGAATTGTAACATGTTTTTGTGGTATTTATATAGTGAGCAAAAAAAAGCGAATGAATATACCAATTAATTTAAACAATCATTTCAATTAATTCCCAAAACATTTCTTGAATGATATTAAATATTCCGATTATCTTTAACACGATACCAGAACAATAACTTCCTACATAATCATTATTGCACTCATAATAAAATCGTCTATAACTAAAATCGCAAAAAATAAAAGCATAGAAATTGCAATTTTGAAAATTAAATTGCTAGTAGAAAAAAAATAGTAGAACTGGTAAAAGTACATAATGATGACAGCTTTTGACAGTTTCTAAAAGATTGAAAAGTTGAATTATTAAAAAAGTGAATGATTGGAAAAATTTCTTCTGTATAAGAATTAAGGAATAATATCTTTAAAATATGATTAGTTATTGACTAGAAGTTTTTTCATATGTGATTTTATCATAGAATGATATCAATGAGAAAGATTTTATCATAGAATGATATCAATGAGAAAGTTAAATTTCACATCATAATTCCTTTTTCACAAACAGCTGATAAATTCCGAAATCAATTCCCTCATTTATTTCATTTCATTTAATATCAAAATCTCCTCGAAAAAATGTTTTAGCTTTAATTATCAACAAAACATTAAGCTTAAATTACGAACAAAACAAAACAGCTTTATCATTTAAAAAGCAATTTTATTTTTCATTTCCATCAACTCCCAATAGATTCCTCAAAGATATTTATTCTCAGTTAATTATTTATTTGTTTATAATCAACATACATCGATACAATTTAACAGCTTAAAGTTTCGTTAAGGAGGTGAATTTCATCATAACAATGCCTCAACTATACTTTGAATCTATGCCTTATTGCACTTGCAGATTTATAATTAATATTCCAAGTTATTCAAATCTCGCTTACTTCACTCTCGCAAGATGAATATTAGAGTTGGCTCATTTGCTTAGTTCAATTGCTTATATAAAATTAACAATGAAGAAATCATCAATTAGACTTTCATACTTAATCCTATTTAGAGTGAAATTATTTCCCTAAAATATATATTCTACTAATTACAATTATTATTATTGCCCTTAAATCATAGTGAAATGTTTACAAATAAAAGAAATATTAATTGATTAAAAATTTGCGGAAATATCATATATTCGCATAAAAGTATACGCAAAATGTTTCAAACAAATGATCCTAAAGAAAAACAATAATGTAAATATTACAGATTACATAAGAAAAGGTTGAATTTTAGCTTTATTCTTTTAAGGAAAAATTTCGGTAGTGAGAAAGTAATAAGTTTGGAAAATGAGGAAAAAACAAAAATATGGAAGAAGTAATTTCAATTTATTTACAAAGAGAGCAATGAAAAAAGACTTTTTATTGATTTCAAAATAAGAGAGATTGAAAATTAAACTTCAACAAAACAACTATTCTCATCAATTTAGTTGTCACCAAAATTGAATACGCAAGAAAAATTAAAACAACAAAAAGACAAAATATAATTCTTATGAAAGAAATAGCTCATTTAATAATATTATTATTTCAAACAAAACTAACCGTATAGGAAATGGAAAGCGTAATAATGCGGCATATGTAACATTTGTTGGAGTGGAAATGATTGGAAGTATAATAAAGAGGAGGAAAAAAGGAGCGATAATAATTTATGAGTAAATACGCGCTTTGAATACAAGATGTAAGCTTCCATCATCTTTTCATCAAAATTATTCGAACTAAATAATAAAACAAATTACTTACGAATAAACATATATTTTCAAAGACTAAAACAATTCATCGTACATAGCAAATGCTTATTGATAGCGGTTGATTGCTATTTATCATTGTATGAGAATTGGGTTGACTAAAAAAGTTTCTACTTGTTGTTTGTAAATATCATTGATTGATTATTAATGCAAAACGATTGTAATATTAATTGTAACTTTTTTTTGCTAAATTGAAATATTTCAATTTTTTATTTTTCGATAATATAATAATGAAGAAAATAAAATTTTTATAACATATGATAGAAGGATATACGATGGAAAAAAGGGAAAAATTAATGATAACAAAAACAACAGCAATGAAATAATTGAAATGGAAAAACTTCTTTTTTGGGTGATAAAGTGAAAATTAATCGTTTTTGTGAACTATATTCGAAAGTAATGAAATACAGAAAATCAATTAATTTCTATCAATCACAAACATAAACAATGAGAAAGACTGGACAACGATGCAGTTAATTTAAAAAATTTACCTAATTTTCTCTAAATAATTGATGGAATTTTCCAGTATTCAAATCACAACTGAACATCACATTTGACCACCATGGTTACGATCAAATAAGTGAAAGCTACAAAAGAAAATATAGCAAGGAAAGACATGTGCTGCATAACTAAACAAAAACAAAAGATATGCTGGATGAAAGTGACCAAATAGTCTTCATAAATCTTGTTGAATTCTTGGAATAATTTCTCTTATTCAAAGCAATTTTTGATTTAGCATACAACTTCCTAAACTATTGCCTTTCTTACAAACTACAACGAAATTATCATATACTGTAATCTTTTTTCTCACTCAACATTACTCATCTTTCATTCTTGGACTCTCAAATTCATCCCAAAAAGCGATATTCTCGAAGGATACACTTTTCATGACTAACAATTAAGGGATGTTTGTCCAAAATTGGTTTAAAATTCAATGATCCTAGTTATAAAACCGAGATGAAACATAACACAGTAATATTGAAAGAATCTGTAAAGTTACTACTTCTCTAGTACACCATAAAGGAATGTATATTTCAAACAACACATGGCCTATGTAAATTAGGTGCCTGCTCTATTAATTTTACGCCGTCCATAAAACGACTATAAGCATTTAACAAATTTTTAGGTGATTTTGGATCAAGATCGACGATTTTTACAGAATATGCGAAACCGATATAGCTAGCACCAGATGCTCCGAGAACTCGCACAATTTGTTGCCGTGATGATTGCACACTTTGGCTGGCAAAAGCAATTGGGTCAACTAATCTCATACTAATCATCAACGAACAATCTTTCATTGTAGCAGCCAACAGGTAACGCTCGACCAGTGCACGATCTGTATTCTGATGAAGGAATGTTACACCTTTCTTGGGTAGCAAGCATTTATCTAGCAGTTCTTTCTGCAAGCAAGAAATATTAATAGTATTATGCAGACGGTAGCATATTTGCACTTGAACACACTATTCATGGAAGAATATCTAATTTAGATTTATGATAACGGCTCAAATATATCTTTAATGCTTCCGTAATTTGATCAAAAATTTCTTAATTAACATTTAAACAAACTTAAAAGAATCACTGAAAGTAATAATAAATAAAACTGAAGGATCATGGCAAATCATATCTAACCTGCTCTGTTTCAGGGAGGTTTGTGTAAATTTGATAAGCACGAACAATACCAACCGTATCGATGCGCTGTCCCTTCAGTAACTTTGTAAGAACACCTGAATCATGCACAGCAAATAAATCGTCCGACGGTGCATCCACCAAAATGCAACATAACTGCAAAATGTCATTGCAGGAAAAATAGAAATTTCATTAAAAGCTGATATATTTCTAAATAAATCATGCAGGAAAAAAATAGGTAGTCAACAAAAATTGCATGAAAAATATTCAACATTTTCAGTCGAAAGTGTAGATGGTGATCAAGGAAGACAACACTACTGCAATTCCTTTTACAATGCACGCAGACAGTCCTACGAATACCGAAAATCAAGGAAAATTAAAATATTTTACATTTTTGTTAGAGATATTAAATGAAAAACTGAATATGAAATTGTCCAGCAATTTCAACACGAAGATCCAGATGAAAGCGGCTTGAGCAAGACAATAGAAATTTACATGCAAAATCAAAAACCCAAAAACGAAATGATAACTTACGGCGTTGATCAATTGCTGAAGAGAAACAGAGCCATCACGAAAAAGGGATTCACGAAGCTGTTCGCCCGTCAACTGACGTTCATCAGAATGTATTAAATTTCCATCAAGAAAAATCCGTAGATTTCGATGTGGTACTATGAACAACGAATTAAGTGCCTTACGCATTCGCTTCAAATCACCGCTGAACAAATCTAATGGACAAAAATCGTACATCTGTTCGAAAGCATCCGAATGGCACTTTTCCAGCTGTAAGTATATTCTAAAATTCTAATTTGGTAAGTTTTTCATCAAAATTTTTTAAGACTGATGTTTTAATGAATCGGTTTATTTCATCATAAGTATCACATGATTAATTTTATGATAGAAATACAAATATCTCAGCTAAAGTGTAAAGTAAGAATATGATCTCGAATTATATATAAATCATCAAAATACTTAAAATGCATAAAGAACCTGTAATATACAGTTATTGCAGTATGGTATGTTGACACCTGGATGATTCTGCATGAAACCTTGTTTAGGCTTAATTTCCACCGTAATTGTGGGACCAAAATACCGTGGTGATAAACATTTCGGAATTCTTGTAGCATCCATCATTTGCAGAATGCTCACATAACGAATATCCTTTGAACAAAAAGACGGGAAAAAACTCATTGTGGAGGGATATTTCTTTGAATCACATAATTCCTCGAATGTTTCAATCTTTAAATTGAATGGAAGAGCAGGAATCTGAAAAAAAAACTCGGTAGCTTATTGAAAATTTTGGGTACACCGTGCGCAGTTGAAAGACATTATCTTAGTTAAATAGATCTAGAATGCAATATTTTCATTGCATACAAAGTGATGTTGAGAACTGCAAACAACAACAGCTCTCATCACATATATGAGAATTATAAAATATTATTTACATGCAATGCAACACAAATCCTGCTAATATTTGTATTCTGATATCAGCTATTTTGTTTAGTCCATCTGCTGAATACTAATCTTAGAGTAGGAAACCCAAGTCTCTACTACTTACTTACTTGAAGTATTTAAATGAATACCGCTTATCAACTATTATCTAAAGATCTCTTTATTCGATGCAAATTTTGGGTATAGCTTCTAAAATACAACAGAACTTAAAAGCTCACTTTGGCGAGATGGTGCAAAGATTCTGTATCAATTTTAACAACTTCAGGTTTAACAAGAAACTGCCGACCAAGAAAAGGCACAATTAACTTCTCCAAATATGCAATAACAACATGACACTTTGGTTTCGTTGTTACATTTCCCGACCTACGTTGTTTTGTCAATCTCCAGGCTATTCTGCAAAAAACTATACAAGTCTCCATTTTCTCCATTCAATTTCTTGCTGAAAACAGGATTTTTGTAATGTAAATATATTTTCGAGAGATTCGAAAAATTTTCATTATGAAATATAGAAAAAAAACATACCTTAAACCTGTTTTTCCACATTTTGCACTAATCACAAAATTAGCACGACCTTCGCCTCGAAAACAAAAGGAACGAAAGGAAAGTGGATCGATAACTGGTACTGTACTTGGTGGAACCATTGACTGGACAATCCATTCACCTTCGAATACTCTCATAACTACTATTCATAATTGCCTGAAAATGAATAAATATTAATTTGCATATAAAAGGTTAACCAGAACAAGGATAACACAGAATGCACTAAAAAATTCATGTTTGTGATAAAGATAAATTACAACTAAGAATTTTCCAGACAAAACAGCTGAGTAAAATAAGTCAGTCTTTATTGATTCTGCAAATAATACTTTGGCCAATTTATCAATTTACAAGATTGCTCAATTATATTAGGAAAATTAACACCTTTAGTCAACAATACTTTCCCATAAAATTTCGTTTAATTTTTTGTATATGGTAATACGTAACATATGATAGACTAAAAACCGATCATATCGTACAAAGTATTGTTCCTACTCCCTTATAAAGGAATTTCTTATCAAACTTTGCTTATCGAAAATTTTTACTTCAGTAAACGAAAAAAGTATAAAAATGGGTGACGAAATTTGATCAACCGGAAAAAAAGTGCAAAAGTGGATGATGTAATTTGATCAATCAACATTTTACATTTTCTTCTCATGCCTGCATGTAACAATCATTTTTATACCATTAAAATTTAATATTAAAGAGTCTAAGAAAATGGAATAAAAAGAAGAGAAGGAAGGAGAAATATGAAAGACAAATAAACAGTAATCATTATTACTATTACCTAATGTCTGATGAATAGTTGAGTAAAACATTTAAAAAGAATATTAGTAGAGGACGAAAAAATGAAAAAGAGAAACAACTTAATAAGATAAAACACAAAAATTACTTTTCATTTTATATTACTTACATGGCAATAAAAAATTTAAAAAATAAAAACTATTTATTTGGAAAGAATTTCCCAACATTGCAAAAGCTGCTGCACGAAAATTTGTTCATATTATAGACAATCAATCACCGATAGAATTCACTGATAGTATTATCGGATAAAGACAAGAGATTTCTCACATTTTTACATTGAAGAATTTGATATGAATTGAAATCAAAGAATTTTTGATGTAATAATGTTATAATGGCTGCTATACATATATGATAATATCATTAAAAGTACCAGGAAAATGTCAGTATAATATCATCAGTAGATTATTGAACTAACGGATTAAATACAAAAAGAAAAAAAAAACACATAACTTACATTCGTCGCAAATTATAAGATACAAGTAGTGACAGTTGTATTTTGCAATCGAAATATTTTCCCTAATAAATTTGGAATATTTTTAAAATTTAACCTTTCAATCTTGAAGTTTATATTGATTACTCGGGACTTCGAATATAACCAATAATTTTATGGGGAATATTCATGAATGAAATATAAGCTGCACTAAAACAAAAATCGAGAGATCACTCGAGTTAAGCAACTGAATAAATTAAGAAGATAGCTCATTACGTTCTTCTGTTCCTTCTAAAATGTAAGCAAT